TCGCACCTGCTGTCTTCCTTGCTTCCGGACGTAACTGCAAACCTAGATGATATACTAGCGTCGCCGCATTCGAGCCATCCGTATGACACGTTGAAGGCAGCAATAGTTTCCCGCAAGTCCGAGTCCGAACACAGCAGATTCCAATAGCTCGTCACAGTTAAATAGCTCGGTGACTTTCGCCCATCACAGCTCCTGCGACGCATGCGCCAGCTCCTTGGGGGCCCATGCGCCCCTCCAGAGGAGAAGCTATTGCGTGAGTTGTTCCTCCAGCTCTTACCGCAGAGCATGTTTCCTGCACTCATGGCTGCAGGCGATGTCTCCTTAGACACGCTCGCTGAAATGGCTGATAGAGTAGCCGACTTCTCACGAAGACATACCCTCAATGCTGTCACCACACCGCCATCGGCCATCACTTCAGCCCTGCCCTTGCGAGCATTGAGAACCGTTTGGACGCCATCGCCAGGCGTCTCGATGACTTTCTACCATCGCATCAACGACCGTCATCCAGGTTCCAGTTACATAGTCGCTCCACGACGGCACCACACTCTACGGGACTTCAGCCAAGGGCGGCTCCTCCTCGACTGTGTGCCGGTACCACCGCCTATTCGGTTCCTCTTCTCGCAAGCGTACTCCCCCGCGCTCCTGTTCGGGAAATGCGACCGCTGGCCACTGACGTCGGCAAGTGGTACTGGTCCAAAGTTATGCCGCCTTTTTCATGTCTCTGATAAAGAGCTCTGGTGCTCGCTTCTTAGTCAGCACCGAAGCCCAGGTTCGTGTCATACCGGTTTCGTGTGCAGATTACCGTCGCAACGTATGCATGTATGTATGTATGTATGTATGTATGTATGTATGTATGTATGTATGTATGTATGTATGTATGTATGTATGTATGTATGTATGTATGTATGTATGTATGTATGTATGTATGTATGTATGTATGTATGTATGTATGTATGTATGTATGTATGTATGTATGTATGTATGTATGTATGTATGTATGTATGTATGTATGTATGTATGTATGTATGTATGTATGTATGTATGTATGTATGTATATGCATGCCATGTATGTATGTATGCATGTATGTATGTATGTATGTATGTATGTATGTATGTATGTATGTATGTATGTATGTATGTATGTATGTATGTATGTATGTATGTATGTATGTATGTATGTATGTATGCATGTATGTATGTATGTGTGTGTGTGTGTGGTGTGTGTGTGTGAGAGAGAGAGAGAGAGAGATAGAGAGAGAACTGCGCAAGACAACTCACCGCGAAGAACTGCCGCACGCTGTCCGAGTCTATTTAGGGATATCTAGCCACCATAACAGAGAATCACGCGCAGCATGGCGATGGGCTTGTAGCTGGTCGGCAGGCTACAGGGACCAGCGATGATGCGCATGTGCCGTGTCTTGAGCATCCGCGAGAATGGAATGAATGAAAACAACATCCTTCTAGGTCCAGCAGGACGCGACGAAGTCGCGCACGCGGCTGAGTGTACGATTTTCATTTCGTCACCCGGTTTGTGAATGCGTTTACAGAAACTTGTGCATGCTTAAGAATCATTGCCGCAAACTTGCCCTTCAGTATTATTAGGAACTAATTTGTTTACATAATAATTAATGAAAACATTAAATTGTCAAATATGCAAAGCTCCAAGGAGTAAATGTACATCCAACTTCCTGAAGCCGTGGTTTATGAGTTAGGTCCTATCGTATGCTTTCCTGTCTACGTAATATAATAACTTGCTCATTACCCGCAGTTCGTGGAGAGCTTCGGTGTCTAGCAGCCCTTCAGCCGGATGCTCCTGCACACTTTTAAGCAAGTCGTCTAAAATAGTGGTTCTCGCCTGGTGACTGCGAAAGGCCACCATTATGTCCGGTAAGCGAGACTGTTAGATGTGCGCATTGACTGCCACGTCATCGAAGACATTTCTGGGCGAATCGCACGAGTTCTTGCACTTCGATGGGCACGTTCACGACTTGGCCCTTGATCAGTTATTGCCCGTGGCCGTGTGTGACGCGTCGAATGCTCATGAAAGGCAGACACGGCGTGATGAGCCGTTCGTCGACCGAATTCAGCTCGGACCAATGCACGGGTTTCATCGGGTAGCGGTAACCGTTGGTCACGCTCATCAGGGGCACGTGGATTGACGTTGACGCCTTCTTGCAAAATGAGCACTCCATGAAATCACCGTGGTGGCCGTCGTTGTTACTCGCCGGCCCGAACTGCTCTCGCAGCACGCCGACGACCGCGTTCCGTTGTTGTTCGTTCGGGATCCTGCGGACCTTGGTCATGTTGCTATAACCAAAGCTGGTAACACACTATGCAGCTGTGACCGATGCTTCGGTCTAGAAAAAGCTCATTTCCCTCAAGATGGGATGAATAGAGTAGTTTATTCCTCTCGCTTGAACCGCGCGTTCGCACCATCGGTCCCGGGTTGCAACACTCCCTTCAAGCGTTTCGTTGCCTGGTCGCTTCGGGATTCGCTGCTCGACGTTTGTGTTCTGATTCGGCTTCGAGTTGCCGCGACACCTCAAAATTCTAGAGAAGAGAGAGGAGATACGCATTCGCATTGGGGTCGTGGATGCCACGGGAGGGATGAACAAAGCCCCGCCTTACACCCAGCCCCCGCCTAAGGTACTTCGCATGTAAAAAATCAAGCATGCCCACGGAGTGAATGATGAGTGGAGTGAAGCGTCCGTCCACCCGTCCGTTCGTCCGTGCGCTTGGACGGACGGACGGATGGGTGGATGGAAGCACGCACGTACGGATTGACGGATGCATGGACAGATAGACAGATAAAAGCACGGACGGACACATGGATGGACTCACGGACGGACGGAAGCATGGATGGACGGACGGACGTATAGAAGCACGGACGCATAGACGGATGGACAGACGGACGGCAGAAGCACGGACGGAAGAACACATGGACGGACGCTTCCCCCCACTCATCATCATTCACCCCGTGGATATGCTGTGAAAACTACAAACGCCATCTAGTTATATTATACCCAGGGACATACACACACAACGCCATCTATTGAGCAACTCATAAACTAGAGGTGGCTACATGCTACTACTACGACGACAGAGGAGGGAACAACCTACGGCCTAAGGAGCTTCGCCCCTAAGAAATCAGCCGCACGTATCTGCGTGCTTCGCTACAAATGTCATCGAAAGACGAGACTTCTGCCGGCCGTACTACGCGAGTCTTGGTCTCATCCGTGGCCACCCATAATGCTGTTCTCGTACCATTTCCATCTTAGCACGAAGAACGCAATGCAGCTTTGTTTGACCAGATTTCATTTACCACTTATTATTGCTGGCATGATACGTGTCCGTACCTCCACGAAATGGCAGCAACGTTTGGTCGCACGTGGTACTGTAGCACAATATTTTGCAGAAAAGAGAGAGAGGTGAATGAAAGAGGAAGAACTAGAAAGGCCGCTATTTTGTACCTCGTGTCGCGGAGGCAACGCTCAGCGCTTTTAGAGATGGGGGGGGGGGGGAGGGAGAAGTAAAGACGATAGCAAAAAGAGAAGAGAAAAAAAGTGAAAGGCATGGTAAGAGAGAGTCTTGTCAGTACAGCCAGTAGTACGAAGCTAAAGTGTTCGCCTGTAAGTTAGTGAGGTCCGCAGAAGCACAGAACTTGAGGAAGGCTCGGAGGGCTTGCGTCTTTGAGCACGCGGGAAAAAGGATGTGCATCTTCTACCATTGCCGCAGGCAGACCGCGCAGGCAATATTGGCTCACCATCACGCAACGCCCTGTGGCCAAGAGCAAATAATAGGTACTTTTCTGAACCACATTGTGCCTCCCACTCCGCTCTGCCAGTCGGTGGTTGTGCCACTGTGCATGCGCCAGATGGTCAGGTGCTGAGCGTGTGAGCGTACCTTCGTAGCGAGCGACGGATCACTTGACGCGAGGAGAAACGACCAAAACGGCAGCCTCTTGTGCCGCGAGTATACGCTGGTCGGGAAACGCAGTTGTTTTTCGGCAAGCAAGTAAGCAAGCGCCCACGGCACATATAGGACGCACAAGAATCTGTGCCTCCTCCGAGATGTCGTCGCAGCCAATTCCTTTGAGAATCCACGCATGTGGGGGAAAGTTCCACGAAACTATCTAGAGCTGATAAGATCGGAAGGAGCGTCTGCAGGTGCTTCTTTGGTACTTACGTCAAAGGGACATCACGAATCTTCGATAGTAAGCGATTTTGTGTAACAATAGTAACAATTTAGTTTGTAACAATAGCCACTCTTCCACCTATTCAGAAAAGCTCTTTAGTTTGATTTGCCACAAAGCAACGCGGTGAACGCGCTGCCTCAGGGCAGGGCGTTTAAAACGCGTTTGGGCTGCCTTCAAGACTTCGATTGTAGTTTAGCACTAAGAGAAGGTGACAAAAAGATGCTCATGCGTCAAACAGTAAATGAATACACACTCTTTTAAAACAGTTTTTTTTATCTTGCAGCAAGATGAGACTAACCTTCGTTTTCCATTACAACAACTGTCATGCACTGGTGGCGTCGCGATTGCGTTAACCGAACAACGCTTGGCTAAAACCAAAAACACGCGTTGCGCTCCGGTACTGTTGAGCGGAATAGAGAATGGAGCACCAAATCGGTCAGCTAAAAGTGCCTAATATGCTGCAGCGATTCGTCGTCGCCGCACCTTCGCCACGCAGGCGATGAATGCGACCCGCGAAATACACGCGTGCCGCAGGCCAGGCGCTGCCGGTGCAGGCGAACCAACAAACGCCGCTCGCATCGGTCCAGGCCAGTCTCCGGAAGGGATCGAGGAGGCTTGCTGATTGCCATCCGCGTGTCAGAGTAAGCCGTTGGTAGCAGTAGCAAGGAAGAACCATTTGTGAGGCATGAATGTGTTTTATTGCGTGGAAGGGTCAATGACTGTGCGCATGAAGTAGACGCCGAGGTAGGTTTGCTTGGCCTCACAGTGTATGGTAGTTATCGCGCCAAGCGCTTTTGCCTTTTGTCTAACGGCGGGCTCGCATGGCTTCACGTTTTTTTGCAAGCCTTTGGGCGCGCCCTTCTGGAGTTTCCATTTCTCGGCGGGCTCGTTTGGCTTCACGGTCTTTTTCACGTCTTTGGGCACGCTCTTCTGGAGTTTCTGCCTCACGGCGGGCTCGCTTGGCATCACGGTCTTTTGCACGTCTTCGGGCGCGCTCTTCTGCAGTTTCTGCTTGCCGGCGTTTCCGTTGTGCTTGGCGGGCCTTGGTTAACCGTTTGGCACGAGCTTCGGGTGTTTCTGCCGCCCGGTACGCTCGCTTCGCCTCTCGGTCGCTGACGATTCCTGCGTCGCGCAGCTGGTCTCTTTCCTGTTGCCTCCGGGCGCACCTCGACTCGCGGTCTCTCGCTTGCCGCCGGGCTCGTTGCTCGGGCGTTTCCAGGGCACGATTGAGACGACGGACGTCGGCACGTAGGCGCTTCTCCACTGCAATTTCGTCGTCGGTCTTTTCCCGGCGTTGCCTAGGCATGTCTTGTTTGCCTTGTCTCACACAGCGTCTGCTAGCTCTACGTTGAATCGACCGGGTCTGGCTGACACTGATAAAATAGAGGGGGCGCTGCGTTACGCTGCGTTAAGGTCCCTAGGTGAAACAAGTTTCCAAGGTTCCGTCACTCATTGTTCTCGATGCCGTCCTCCTCACTCTCTTGCTCACCGCTCCTTTTCTTCGCCATCCGCGTCTGTAATTGGTCCATTCCTTGCACGTGATCTTGCAAATGGCTGGTGGTGTTATTTATGCAAATGGTACAAAACGAGTACGCTTGCGCAAATGGCTGCAGCTGGATTCTCGCCGTGACCAAAGACGAAATCGTAGCCAGGACATAAACTGAATAGGAGGAGCGTTTTAAGTTGGTGCCAAGTCGGCCAAGATTGTTTCGCGATTTCGTTCAATGCAATATCCTAGTTTTTCCAGAATACTGGGTTGCCGTAAAACGACAGAAAACGGTTTCGCTCTCTTCAGCTTACCTTGTGCTATCCGAAATGAAGCACACTGTGAAGTGTAGCTATGGACGTATGTCGACGCGTATTTGCGAAGCGAGTTTATTTGTCGGTTTTTATTGAAACACCCGGAGCGTGTCTGATGCGCGTCTAGTGCATGCCAGTTGTTACGAATGCTTGTACGTATGCACGTATACAAAGCAGCTGGAGCGTGTAGTCAACGCACCTTCAGTAACATCTCACACTTGACCAGTTGACCAGAACGCAGCATAAAGGAGCCGAAACGTGCTGCTTCAGCACACCTCACCATTAGAACTCTCACTTTTCAGGAAGATCCGCACACCGCACCAGAATCATCTGGCATCACGATTGTCAAGATGGGCACATTAAAAAACTGTCATCGCAGTGCGGCTTGTCAAGCGTTCGTACTGGTCTCGCCGTGGTTTTTCCTTGCGTGTGCATAAGCCGACTGTAATCCCTCGTCACAACGTCCATAGCCTCCTCTATAACTTTGTGCCCGAGCGGTCGGTCCCTCAGCGCCGTCCCCCGAGCTATTATGGGATGCGAGCGCTCCTGGCGGAGCGCCGAGGCGCAAAACGAGAGAATGGATGGCAGCTATGGAGAAAAAACCGGCTTTGAGTAACTACCGAAAGGGCAAAAATGAAATAAGGAGGGAGGCATTTTACGATAATTCAAGGGGAAGCGCTTTACTGTTTGAAGCGAGATCGGGTTGCCTTAGAACGCGTAGTTATAAAGCAAGATTCAGTAAAGAAGAAGAACAATGCACATGCTGCGGGAAAGATAAGGAAACGGCGGAGCATGTTCTGATTGAATGTGGAGATATCCACCCAGGTGTACTCCTGTATCCGTCAACTGAGCTCGTAATGGTTCTAAATTCTCTAAAGAATTACGCGGAAGTTTTCCTCGCAAGAGCGAGAAAGATGAATCAGCCACTGAAGGCTGCCGTTGACAACGCCGCGCAAATACTACAGAAACGTGACAAACTCAAGTGCTCGACCCCGGGACATCATAAAAAACTTTTGGAGGTTGTGCTCGTGAAGTTTCTCCGCCCACTTTTTCTGAACTTCGCGACGAGTGTGACTGACAAACACGACTTGGCAAAAGATTTTCATGTCAAACCATTGTCTCGAAAAGTGCTCAAGCTTTGAGCGCGAAATCAAATAACAAAGCTCACATTGCATTCTGCATAAAGTGCTTGTGTTAAAAATTTGGTGTGTGCGCACTTCTTAACGTATACGCATAATCCAATGCAATGTAGACGGTTTCTAGACCGTCATAAACGCAAGCGTGCATAGGCCGCGTCGTCTGCTGTTATTATGGGATCGGTGCGGCATCTGGCGGCGAGCGCCAAAACTATAAGGGACGGATGGCGCGTATGTATTTAGCGCTAATGCGCGGGCACAAAAAAATATAGGAGGCTATGCAACGTCACGCCCTGTGGTCATTGACAGGATTCAGTAAAAAGTGCGTTCACTGTTGTGGCCTATGGCGTCGCTGCGTGCGTCATGGCATCGTTAGCGCCAATAGCGCCATTTCCCCTCCTCGGCCATATGCTGATTTAATAAATGTTCATTTGTTGTCAGCCATCGACGTGTCCGGTTGTTTGCGCGCTGGCTCGCACAGCGTCTCACATGGTGTCAGAAGACCCGACGAAGTAGGCCTAGCTCTGTCGGCCTAACCAGAAGTCTTCGCTGAACATCTAAGCACCCGTGCAGCTTTGCCATGTCTACAGGAACTGCTACGTCTTTGCTCCCAGCACCGAAGCCCCTGTATACGACGCAAGGTCTTTGGGTAGCGTGGAAACTTTGGGAAAGCAAATGAAGCTCTACGCCACTGCGACTGGACTCTCCGGTAAGCCGAAATAAGTTCAAGCGGCAACATTTCTCGTCATTATTGGAGAAGAGGGACGGATGATTTACCGAACGCTTAATTTTGAAGCCGAAGCGAACCTTAATGACGTAGGCAAGCTGTTAAAGAAATTTGAAGAACACTGCAAGCCCGTCATCAACCTCGCGTACCGTGACTTCGTTTTTGGCACGAAAGATCAAAAGCCGGGAGAGCGTTTCGATGAATGGCTCGCAGAACTCCGAACGCTCGTTCGCAACTGCGAGTATGGGCTACTTGAAGAGAGAATGTCGAAGAGTCGCATCATCATAGGTGTAAAAGACAAGCGTCTACAAAGCCGGTTAATCAATGGCAACCCAGATTTTCACAAGCTCGTTGAAATTTGTCGCACGAGAAAACAAAGCAAGGAGCAAATAGAAGAGATGCAGAGAACGACCCAAGGAAATCACGGCAACGCTGACAAACGCCCGGACTGTCCTGAAGAGGTGAACTTCGTCCAAAACGACGAAACATGCATGAACTATCGATACGCGTTCCACAAGATTCAGTCCTGCCCCGCAGAAGGCAAGACGTGCAAGAACTGCGGGAAACGCAACCACTTCGCGAGTGTCTGTCGGTCAAAGAAGCCCAGAAAGAAAAACGTGACCCAGATAAAATTGATAGCATCGAATGCGAAGAAAATTACTTTCTTCATGCTGTCTCGCAAACCCACATGCAAACGAGTGGAATTAGGAAGGCCGAGATTGAGATTGAGGGCAAGCCAGTGCTCTGCAACTTAGACATAGGAGCGAACTGTTCAATGATTTCGCTTAAGCAACTGAAAGCAGTTACAAGCACGCAACCGGAAGCAAGCAACACGTCGCTTAACACGTTTTTCGGGCAGAATAAAAAGGCAATGGGAAGAGTTACCCTACAAGCTACAAGCAAACATGGATCTGCTCAAGCACATTTTTTCGCTGTGCAAGAACGCGTGCCAACAACTCTCAGTGGTGAGCTGTCTCAGAAGATAGGACTCATCCAACTTGTGGCCACTCTCACAACTACAGAGAACCAATTTTATGAAGTGGCAAAACCATTTGCTGACACATTCAAAGGCCTCGGGGAGCTGCGTGGTGTGGTTTACCACATGAACCTACACAAGAAATTTCAAGGCGTAGCCAAGCCCATCCGTAGCGTTGCACTGGCTCTCCGTGAAAAGGTCAAGACCGAACTAAACAGAATGGAAGTGAATGAAGTCTTCGCGCCTGTCACCGAACCGACTGAAAGGGCAAGTCAAATGGTAGTTGTGGTAAAAAAAAGACAAGATAAGAATTTGCTTGGATCCCTTTGACCTTAACAAGGCATTCAAACGAGAACACTACCACATGCCGACTCTTGAGGACGTCGTGACCAAGATAGACTCTGCCAAGTACTTCTCTACGTTGGACGCTGCCACTGGATTTTGGCAAATCCGACTTGACAAGCCCAGTTCATACTTATGCGCCATGAGCACGCCATACGGAAGATACCAATTTCTACGGATGCCATTTATAATTCCCACAGCAGCGGAAGTCTACCAGAAAGCAATGCATCAAACATTTTGCAACGGTGCCAGGAAGTAAACTTCAAGCTGAACGAGGCCAAGTGTCACTTCTGCAAAACCGAGGTACGCTATCTAGGGTTCAGGCTGGCTGACCAAGGACTCTCGATAGACCCGAAAAGAGCACAAGCAATTCTCGTGGTTCAAGTCTCAGAGAACACCAAGCAACTTAAGACATTCTTGGGAATGGTAAACTTTGTTGCCACATTTAGCCCGAACATGTCGGAGATAAGAGCACTACTGCGGGACTTACTGAAAAAGGACAACGCAGGGGTATAGACAGATGCGCAGCAACAAAGCTTTGAGAGCCTGCGAAAAGCCTTGTCATAAGCACCGGCCCTGGCATACTACGACAAGACACAACCGATTATGCTACAAGTAGATGCCAGCCAACATGGAGTAGGAGCAGTCATCCTGCAGAACGGACCCCCCTTTGGCACACTCTTTTCGCTCACTAACAGAAGCACAAGAAAAGTATGCACAAATTAAAAATAGAAATGTTTAGCCATTGTACATGGATGCATCAGATTTCACGACTATGTCTTCGCACAGCCAAGCATCTCAGTGTAAAGTGACCGCCGCCCACTCGAGGTGATCTTCAAGAAACCGCTTCACCAGTGTCCATTACGTCTGCAAAGGATGTGACTGACACTCCAAAAGTATTCGCTTCGGATAATGCATAAACCAGGAACTGAGGTGTTTATAGCAGATGCCTTGTCTCGGTCTCCGTCAAAAGAAAAGATACCGGAAGCAGAACACTTCCAAGTAAATGTAGTACAAGAGTTGTCAGTCTCCACCGAAAAGCTGCAGCAGATCAAGCGTGAGACAAGTCAAGACAACAACCTATGTACGCTGAAAGAAGACGCAAGTACCTCATGGCCAGAAGACAAAAGGTCAGTCCCTGAACAAATTTGAGCTTACTGGCCATACCGTGACGAGATCCATGTCGAAGATTACATCTCTTTCCAATCCAACCAACTGATCATTCCTACTAGCATACACTTCAAGGTCTTGATGGTATCGACGTAGTCATGGATGACATACTAGTATGGGGTTCAACTAAGGAGTGTGGTGTAGTATAGTGAAGT